GCAACGAGTGCTATTGTGCTCAGGCCCTGTTTGTGGGCTTCCCATAGGGGGTAGACTCATAGAATTGTAGAATTGGAAGGGACCCCAAGGGTCGTCTGGTCCAGCCTCCTGCAATGCAGGAATCTCAACTAAAGCATCCATGACAGATGGCCACCCAACCTCTGCTTAAGGGGCCATTGTCTTGATCCAGCAATCTCTTATGGTCTTGGTGTCATCAACTGTGCACCCACCCACCCACCTGTGCATCAGTTAATATATAATTATCTAGAGCAGAGGTTTTCAATCTTTTTGAGTCCATGGCTCCCTTGACCAACTACATTCTTTTTGCGGCACCCCTGTGGGGCTCAAGATCCCAGTTTTGTCACCCCTTGCCTGCAATGCTGGCAGCCGCCCACCCTTTTTCGAACACCTTCCCTTGTGGAGTGTTCCCTCAGCCTCCTCTCCCCTCTCCTTGAGAGTCCTCTGGGCAGCTGCTGCAGCCTCCCCTGGTCTCTGAGCTGCCCCCGCTCCAAAGAGAGGTGCCTCCCAGAGGCACCCTTCGCCTGTGGAGCTTGTAGTCAGGGCTTCTGCAATAAATAGCTATGCAAGCCTTTGGGAGGCAATGACATGAGAGGGCATCAGAGGAGGGAGGGAAGGAACGAGGGACAAAGGCCAGTGCTGCCCATGGCACCCCTGACCATCATTCAAGGTGCCCCAGGGTGCCACAGCACACTGGTTGAAACCACTGATCTGAAGGCCTGGCCAGGCAGTGTGCTCAGAGCCAGAGGCCGGGACAGAACTGCAACACCCATTCCCAGTACTTGTTTGATGTCCCTTTCACATGAATAACATGTGAAAGAGGCTAAAATTGCATGGCAAGGAGGTGCAAATCTTCAACACCCCAATCTCTCCAATGCCAGAATGGTATCTCCCAATTGTCTTCTGCCTTGAAGGGGCTATATAGGACACTCCCATTCTTGGTCATCGTTCCCTCTAATACCAACCTTTGCTTAGCACCATTCCCATTGGGAAGGTATATAGGGCTGCATACTCAGGGCAATCCCCAAGTATGCAAAATAAAAATAATATATTTTTTTAAGGTTTCAAGAGAGAGTAGTGTTAAGTGGCTTCCAAGATCTATAGAAAGCACAGAACATAGTTGGCTGCATGCTGCTTATCAGCCCCCGCTCCCATGCAGGCTGTGGCTGATGGAAGTTGTAGTCCCAAAGATCTGGATGGGGAAAGCAGATCTATGCATTTAGAATAAACTGCTGAGGATGTCAGTTGCGGGGGCGGGGATGGAAGAAGGGAATTGGCCTGTTTGAATTCATTACAGCTTAGGGTATCCGTCCCCAAATTGGTACCTTCTATATGGCTAACATCATATATCCTTTTAAATGTATTGGGGGAGAGGGGTTTTGGTTTGGTTTGTTCTTGTTTTTATTATGTATTTGTTGTCTTTATATTTTTTTATGCTATGACCCGCCCTGAGATCTATGGATAAAGGGTGGTATACACATTTAATAAATTAAATATAAATATAAATATGATGATGATGTTTTGGACTACACCTCCTGTCATCCCAGACCATTGGGCAAGATGGGATGTGTAGTCCAGAGCATCTGGAGAAGACTAACTTAGGGGATTTATTATTATTATTATTATTATTATTATTATTATTATTATTATTTTATTTATACCCCATCCATCTGTCTGGGTTTCCCCAGCCACTCCTGGGCATACATACCATGAGGATCTCATCACCCCATGTTTCCTTTTCCTACTATCTAGAAACCTCCCTCCCTACCAGCACTATATAGCACAAGTGGGGATGGACGAATTTTGTCCATTTGGGATTCTCCCAGCTTCTCATTTTCCCAGTCTCCAGTTTACCACACCCCATTTCCACTTCAGTTTGCACATTTTTTAATAGTATGTACAAAAAAATCCCGCTCTTTGCAGATTTGTGAAATGTATAGATTTTTTGCAAGCAAGTTTCCCCAATATATTTTTGTATGTTATTTTCGTCAATGCATGCTTTCTTCTTCTTGCCGTTTCTCCTAATGGACACAGTTTTTTGCCTGGGGACTGCATTGCAAGTGTGAATTTCAAAGAATAACTTCACATACTGGTTTGGTGAGCGATGGTGCAAAATCCCTAAGAACACCCCACATCCCTAAGAACAGGTGGGGAGAGATTTGAGGATGGGGGGCGGCTGGGGAGAGTACTGAAGTGCCTTTTTTTTCTTATGTTCTTCTTGAAACCTTCCCTTCCCCCTTTCTGGAAGCCTTGAAGAGCCTTACAAGGCTCTTATTCTGAGCTAGTTGGATCCCTGAACAGGAGCTCTCCTGTTAGAGATGAGGAATACATTGCACTGTGTTCTTGTCCCTTCCAATAGAGAATTTGGCAGCCTCTTGTCTAGTCAGCTTTGGAAGTAAAATCCCCACCCCACCCCCAAAATCAATGCAACAGTGGTTTCTCCAAATATGCAGATCTATATTAGTGCACAAATTAAAGGGACTTTAAAAGAAAACTACAAAATCACAAAGATTGAGCATACTCAATGGCTTCCAGGAATATGGAGTGGTCAGGATGTCATGGAAGGGATGCATAAGGAGGGGGAAAGCTGCTTGAACTCTCTTAACAGCTTATTTTACCGGAGACCATCCCTCCTCCATAGCAATGCAATCCTCTGGTTCACAGCCAGCAGCTGCTCTCAAATCGGAGTCCTTTTAATTCTGTATATCATAGCATTAAACAAATACAGGTGTCCTTCCCCCCCCCCCAAAAAAAGCTCCCAACTTCTGCAGCCCATGGACAGTGCTGCAAAGGTTCTGTTCCCCATGTCTCCATTCTGAACCCCACCCATGGCCTTAAACAAGCAGTTTTCAGACTGAATCCCATCCCACCTGAATAACAATTCAAGCTCCCCATGAGCCATCTCCAACGAGCTTCCACCCTACGTTATCCATCCATGGGGGACGGGGTGGGGGTGGGGAGGTAAAAACCTTTTAGTAGCCCCTGTGAAAATGTCTGCCCGCGCTGGACCTACTCAGACCACTTATTGCTCTTTCAGGAGCTGATGGTGAGAACTCATTTCTCTGGGTTTCTCCTCCCTTGTTCTTGCAGTGTTAATTCCCTTTGCTCTGCAGTTTTGCTACAGCTTTAGCCACTCCCAATTTAGTTTCTGTTTCGTTGGCTTTTTGGCTCTTTGCTTTGTGAAAGGAGCTCTGTTGCGAAGGTCCCACTATCTGGTTTGTGCACAGGCGATCAAGGTAGGGACCCTGGCAACCACCAGAACAGGATGCCACTGTTAATTCAAGGCATGGCTAAGGTTCCATGTTCAGTTTCCTGCATCTCCGCCTAAAGGGTTGTGTGCAATCAGCGCTGAAAGAGATCTCTGTCTGGGACCCTGGAAAGGGTGGACAGTGCTGAATGGGAGGCACTATTAGGTCTGACTCCGTAAAAAGGGAGCTCCTTGTATTGTTTGGCTTCAAAAAGCCCCGTGTTCTTTTAAAGCTCTGGTCCAGCCATTCCTCTTCTCTCTCCATGAATCATTCTTTCACTTCTTTCCATATCAGGTTTTAAAATCCATTCCTGCTGTTCCCTTAGGGACATCAATGATGATAGCAGTATCATAGTAAAGTTTAAATGAGGTATTTGTGTCTGTCCTCACAAAAGAGGTCACCAAAGGAGGGAGAGAGAGAGAGACTCCTATCTGAACTAACCACCTCAGATGGCAAAGTCTGTAAGCGATGTGTGTCCAAGAGAAAGAGTTTGTTTGGGCAAATTCATTGCACTGTTCCTGGGATCACGACAGCAGTACACAATTCTACAGTGTGAGAGCGTTTTCAAAGCCCTGTAACATAGGTCAGTATTAGTACCCCCTCGTTGTAGGTGGGGAACTGAAGCAGAGAGAATTCCTCGCCCGGAACCCACCTGGGGGTGCTGAGATGCAGAAGACGGGCTTCCTGATTCAGGTCACACGCTTACTGTGGCTTTCCTTAAAGAATCCCAGGAACTGCAGTTTGTTAAGGGTGCTGACCTCGCAGGGCTACTATTCCCAGCACTCTTAGCAAACTACAGTTTCCAGGATTCTCCATGATGCTTAAAGTGATATGAAAGCGCTTTAAATGTCCAGTGTGGGTGTGACCTCAGAGCTCAGTCTCTTAATCACTATGCTAGACCTCTTCACCATCAGCTTCCGTGCAACACTGAATCCTAAGGAAACTTAGGGTGCGAAGTGACTGACGGATAGGTAATATTGCTGTAAAAGTAATCCTGTGATTGGAGACTGGAAGAAAGGTCATGTGGGGTGGGTGTAATAGGTTGGTGATCCTGACCGGTATTCTAGGCAAATTTTAGTAGGCACTATAATTAACCACGTGGCCTTGCAAAACTCAGCATGCTTTGGGTGTGCCCAGCACCTCAGTAAGGAGAGGTTTCTCGGCCATTTTCAGCTTGGGCCTTTCTTCTAAATTTGCCCCACTTTCTGTCCTTGCCCCCTCAACTAGTTCTACCTAGTGTGTCCTGGCAGGGAAGCATAGAAACAACATCATGGGTGTGTCCCGCTGCTGTGCATAAGTATCTATGTATCGGGGCAAAGGGAGGTCCTCCGGATTAAAGATCAGCTCTTACCAACTGCCCAGCGTCAGTCCTGCTCACTCTGCAGCTGAACCCAGCAATGAGTGGCAAAAGAGACTCTAATGCTCCCAATAGTTCTGGCCATTAGAGTCCCTTGAGGTAGCCTCTTGTGCAAGTCCCCTGTGCGGGAAAGAAGGGCATGGGTTTCCTGGTGCTTGGTTGCTCTGCCTGGGGCTTTGGTGGAGAGGTTGACTAGCAATGAATAGGGCTTGGAGTGAGGGAGAGGGAGCCCCATTGGAGGCTCCTTGTGTGGGACTGGAAAGGGAGGTGGGAGGCAGGAGACTGCCTAGCAGCAGGGGAGACTGCTGACAAGACCCTCTACTTGTTTGGAGGGTCAGGCAGGTGAAATTTGGAGGAGCCAATTCACCCAGGAAGGTGAATAGGCTTAGTGGTTGAGCATCTGCCTTGCATGCAGAAGGTCCCAGGTTCAATCCCCAGCAGGTAGGGCTGAGAATGTTCCCCATCCGGCAGCGACCGTCCAGGGTTTCAGTCAGTGTAAGCAATACTGAAACACATGGACCACCAATCTGACTTAGAATAAGGCCGCTTTCAGTGTTCCAATGTAAGGAATGAAACATTCATTCATTGCTTTTTCATTCATTCCCATACAAAGACCCACTTCTACTCTTAGCACTGTCAAAATCTTTATCCCATTGATTGCAGCTTCACATGTTCCAACGGACTGGGAACGATCCTCTGCCCCAAACCCTGGAGAGCTGCTGCCAGTCAGTGCAGCAGAAAACACTGAGCTAGATGGACCAGTCATCTGGCTTGGCACGAGGCGCCTCTGTGCTCCTTGGGGTGGTGCTGATGGGCTTGGCAGCTGCTTGGTTTTCGGCTGTCATTCTAGAGTTCCATCGTTTTTATGCTCGCCCCACCCTCCACAATCCTTGCAGGTCTCTCACAGCTTCTCAAGGGGGTTCTGCTCCACAATTTGAGAGCAGCTTGATTTAGTGCCTTTTATGCAAGTACTATCTTTTGTTTCCTGGAAAGGCACAGATCCCAGGTAAGGGCCAGGGTGGCGCTGTGGGTTAAACCACAGAGCCTAGGGCTTGCTGATCAGAAGGTCGGCAGTTCGAATCCCCACAACGGGGTGAGCTCCCATTGTTCGGTCCCTGCTCCTGCCAACCTAGCAGTTCGAAAGCATGTCAAAGTGCAAGTAGATAAATAGGTACCACTCCGCCGGGAAGATAAATGGCGTTTCCGTGCGCTGCTCTGGTTCGCCAGAAGCGGCTTAGTCATGCTGGCCACATGACCCGGAAGCTGTACGCCAGCTCCTTTGGCCAATAAAGCGAGATGAGCGCCGCAACCCCAGAGTCGGTCACGACTGGACCTAATGGTCAGGGGTATCTTTACCTTTACCTTTATGCAAGTACTATCTTTTGTTTCCCGGAAAGGCACAGATCCCAGGTAAGGATCCTCTGCTGAGGAAACTGCCCTCTCCTTGCTTCTCCAGTTCCTCCGCTGGTGAGCAGAGGCACCAGAGAACTGATGGACCATGGGATCATCGCCCCTCCACTAACCTCCATACCCAGGGCTGCCTTCTTTGACTTTCCTCTGTGAATGTTGCTTAGCAGCCTTGCTGCCCAGAGTCAGTAAACACTGTTGGGATCTGAGATGAAATTAGCAACGGGGAGACTTTTCCAACTCCCATCCTTTAATTAATCTAAAAATGCTGGATTAATTAAAAGGATGTCTCAAAATTAATCCACTGATTTCCTGGACTAATTGAAGAGTGGTAAGGCTAGTAGGCCGCACTGCATGCCCCATGATGTCACTGAGCTCATGAATTAGTCTCAAGACCTCTGCGCACCCCTTCCAGCATGAATCAGGTGTGCCTCTTCCCCCTGTGCTGTACAGCTTGCTGGAGGCTGGAATAGCATTGGGTGGGGCCCATTGTGCACCAGAAAGTGCACATGATGTGCTGTAGCCTCAGATACTCCCACAGATCCCTTTCAACCCCTCCCTCCTCTAGCATAGGGAGCACAACGAGGGAGGCCTTGTGTATGCCAAAAACATGGCCTCAGAGGCCCTTGGACATGTCTGTGTGTGAGTGATGCACCCAGAGTGGCAACGCATCATGCAAACTACAACTCCCCGTTTTGCCAGATGGCTTGGATGCATCATCAGTGTGTGGGAGCATCTGAGGCCATTGCGTATCATGTTTCCCTCCTGGTGCATGTTGGACCTTTACTGCCAATGCTGCTCACCCTCCAAAACGCAAGGGCGGGGAGAGTCTGATCCATTCTGGGTGGGGGGCGGGGTTCACAGAGGCTGCAGGTTCCCTTAGCACGCTCACTGATGTCATTTGGGTGTGCTGTGGCACTTAGGGACTTTGCCAGTCATCAGTTGATAAAGATGGCTAGCCAGCGGTAAACCCAGCAAAGACTTGAGAGAGTTTATAGGGTTTGTAAAAAAACAAAAACAAAAACTTGAATATGCATTGCTGGTGTGATGCAGTGGCACAGAAGACCAGTGCTATTTTAGGTTATGTTAATAGGAGCATTTTTCCCTCCAGACTTGGAAAGTAATAACAAGACCTTACTCAGCACCGCATACACCTCATCTGGAGTAATGCGTTCAGTTTAAGGAGGGTATACAAATGGGTAACGGATTTGGAGAGGGGCACTGAAGGTGATAAAGGCTCTGGAATGCACATCCTGTGAGGACAGGCTTGAAGGAACTAAGCGCGCATAACTTAAGAGACCTGATTAATAATGGCTGAAGCATTGTGTGTAGTTGTATCTTGGTGGGTCCAGTTTAAATTTGTGCTTTTCTTTAAGGCAGGTGCTGCTCTTCTGATTTGGGCTGCAGCTCCCATCAGCCTTAGCAACTGGAGGGTGCCATATTGGCTACCTCTGGTCTAAGAGCCAGTTGTCCAGAAGGAGCTTAGGGATTGAACCAGGGTTTCAAGCCAGAGAATAAGATGAGTTGGAAGGAAGGAAGGACAAGGAGACGTGGTCATGACCCTGGTTGTGAATGATAGCCAGGACTCGGGCACAGGAGGAGGATAAACCGGCTGGATCTGGAAGGGAAGTAGCCCAAGCTGTCAAGGGGCTTGAACCTAGGCCCAGAGCCCATCACCACATTAGAGCCCCTTCAACCAGAGCCCTCAAACCAGGACTCCCAGCCAACAACCCCTGAGCCAGCTTGCTTTGAGGAGCTGGTCCCCTTACACCAGCAGCCTCACACTCCCCAGCACCTGCTCAGTACATCAGATAAAGAACAAGGGAGAAGCTCACTGAGTGGCAATGGGGTGCTCCAGACCAGAGAGCTTAGAGGTGGTAGTCTGGCCCAAATAAAAGGCCTCAGTCGAGATAAAGATCACAGTCCTATTTGGCATTTATTTACAAATGTGGGAAGGAGCCAGCAGGAACTCCAGAGCCGGCCTTGCCTCCTTGATGCCAACAAGAGCAGCAGCATTGTCCTCCAGCCTGCATCCAGCTTAGTCTGAACGGAGCCATTTCCATAAACATGGGATTTCCTCCACAGGCACAGGAACCCTAGCCAATCTGGGTTGCAGTGGAGGAAATCCCACACACATTGAAGCATCTCCCTTCAGACTGAACCCACATATTGCCTGGTGGCACATGTGCCATCCATGAGAGGGTGAGGCTGCCTCCACACACTTGGGCTGGACCCTTCACACATCCATAAGCCTAGATAGGGATATGCTCCCTGAGCAGATTGTGGGCAGGGAGCTCTCCGAGGTCCTGCAGCTTCAGATCAACCCTTTCTGTGGCCTGCCAGAGTGAGCCACTCTCAGGTATACATGCCACTTGTGGCTAGGGCAGGATGAAAATGATCATTGCCTAGGAAATGTTCCATCTTAAGTAGGAAGTCTTTATTAACCTTTTCAGTTGCGAAGAGCTTGCTACCAGCCTGGTAGATGGAACCAGTACAGTATATGGGGATCCTATGCTGTCTAGCACAGGGGTTGGGAACCTTTTTCATCTCCAGGGCCATGTTCCATTCCTGGCAACCTTCTTGGGGGACCACAGACCAGTGGCCTGCAGGGCCAGAGGCAAGAGTGGCCAGAGCAACAACTGTGAATTCCCCCTTTGTCCAGTAGGGTAGTTTCTAGGCACACTTGCACACCCCTCTTCTTTCCTCCATCCAGGCAAGCAAGAGACATGATCAGGAAGCATTCCAGCCAGCCCAAACCTGTTAAGGAAGGTGCAAAGCAGGATGAGGGGGTGTGGCCTGGAGAGAGGGGGCGTGGCCTGTGAAAAGGTCTGAGAGCAATGTTTGGGAAGCACCATGCAAAATCATTTTGTGAACTCTGTGCTTGGCACAGTGTAGGGCTGGCAAAAGTTCTGCGTAGATTGGTTCTCCAGTGCCAGCCTACCAGCTAGCTGTCAGGTGCTCGGGAAGCAGCTCACAACAGGGCTTTGCGGCCACTGCCAGTTTGCCATGCTTGCAAAGACCCTTCCGGCCACGCCCTGCCTTTACCTGCCTCACACCCGGCATCATATATGACATCAATTATAGCGCAGGTGGGTGTGGCTCGCCTAAAACAGGGAGGCCTGCAGTGCAGGATCAGACCTGTGGGCTGGAAATGCTTTAGGGGCTGGAGATGTAAGATTACAAAATTATCCTTTTAGAAAATATTCCAACGGTGGGTTCTGGAAGTCTTAGAAAAGGACCTGGAAAAAGTGCAAACGAAGTAATTGAAAGGGGAAAAAAAAGAAGTGAATCCCTATGCGACTTTTAAGGTAGCTCCATTTCTGCACAAGAGCATTTCTGTGCACTCCTATCCATTCCAGTGGAGTTGTGCACCATCAAATTCCCCAGAGGATCTTGACCGTCATAAATTAGAGTGTGCTTCCTGGACTCACTGACACTGTGGGAAGACTAGTTTGCAAGGCACTAATAAACGTGGCAAAGTGTAGGTTTGATCAGTCCATTCTGGACTAAAACAGTCCTCAGGCTGCTGCCATTTTGAGACCACACCACAACTTCCTACATTTTTAACCTTTTAAGTTACGTAGGCATAGCCTACGTTTTTATCCTGCCGTGCATGTTATGCTCCAGCAAAGTGTGTTATGCTTGGACCTGGAAAATCTCTGGTGTGGACTCACCGAGTACCCCTGGACACATGGCAATTCGTTCTCGGCTTGGGTCAAGCTCCAGGCACCTGAGTCCCAGGATCTATGGCAGAAATGTCCAGTCTTGACTGGGTCAGAGTCAGGCATGTTGTCCAAAACAGGCAGGGGTCAAGTTAATGAGCCCTACACAAGTATCGGAGGCAAGTATGAAGTCATCCAAGGTTATTAGTCATGGAGAGGAAACAATAGCTTTGGCAGTGTCATCACATTAGAGCTGAACTGCTCAAACCAAGGGAGCCAACACTTCATAGGACCTGACAGGCCAGAATTGACACTTGGACAGTACTCAATCACGCTGGCACTGCAGCCTAAATAGCTGAAGTTCAATCTACCAGGTTGCT